TCAACCTATTCAGATGACCCTTCTGTACTCTCATGCTTTGGTAAATACACCCTGCCACATTTCTTCTCATCTCAGATATGTTTGAGCTGTACATACGCATGTGTTAGGGCAAGAGTCAGCCGCACTGAACTTCAGCTACCATGAGAGAGGCACGTAGCCACATTTAAAAGACAGATTGCCTGCAGCTTCAAATGACACAGGGGAATGAACAGCAAGGCTTTTTACTGTTTGCTGTGCTCCGAGGGGCCTCAAAGCAATGATCAAGGAGAGGGAACAAAAATGTGATTAAAGACTGATGCAAGACAGATGCAGGCACCCTGTCTTCTAAAAAAGGTGACAAAACGTAGGACAGAAAGCTCCAAGTCCCTTTTATAAGAACCATTTTTGCCAAGTTAATCCTAAGGTTTGGAAATAATATATATTATGCTAGTTAAAGAAATAGTTAAACCAAAAATAAAAATACAAAATTCTGAAAATTTACTCACCCTCAGGCCATCCAAATTTGTTTCTTCACTGGAACAGATTTGGAAAAATTTAACATTTCTTCACCTGCTCACCATTGGTCCTCTGCAGTGAATGGGTGGCGTCAGAATGAGAGTCCGAACAGCAAATAAAAACATCACAATAATCCACTAGTAATTCACATGAGACCAGCCCATTGATTAACGTCTTGTGAAATCCACCAACATATTTGTATTTGCTTGTAAACGGTGCTTGATCTGTGCATATTTCTCTCCTGATTCAGACGATATGACATTTTCACTGGAGAAAGCAGTATTATGGATAGGTATTAATAATGTATGGTAATTAAAAATGTCTTGATTGATCTGTGATTACAAACACACAGCTTTTCATTTCTCAAGATGCTAATTGATAGACTGGAGATGAGTGGATTACTTGTGGACTATTGTGATGTTTTTATCAGCTGTTTGGACTCTCATCCTGACGGCACCCAGTCACAGCAGAGGATCCATTGGTGAGCAAGTGATGCTCGCATTGCTCAGTAAACAATGTAGTAGCAATTCAGAATGTTTCAGTCTCCCAGGCATCTGTCGGATTTATTTTCCTCTGAATATCTTAGTAGCAAGTCTTTGAAACATTCAAGTGACTTAATGCTTTCAAACATCTTTTGTCACCACTTCTGAGAAGATGAAAAAAGACACCCGCTTGCATCATGAATTTTATTCATTATGTTTTCACAACAGCAGTAAAACCTTGGGGGCCGGCCCCTCTCAATAGCATCCGCACAAGTGAATAGCAGTCACAGGGTCTGACCGATGTCAAGAGAGTTTATGAAAATAAAAAAGACTTGAGCTCATTATGCCTCTTGTTCCTTTGCCCTAGGACGGCAGAAAAAGAACCTATTTGCTGCTGTGGAAAGTTCAGCAAACATAATTCGTGAAAAAATTAGATT